ATTTACAATACTGGTGGCATAGTTTCAGAATCACAGCAACTCACAAGCCACCAAAGTATGACAAACTGACAGATGGGTGAGGCTTGAATATATCCCACCTGAATTTAGGGATCATCTGAAGAACAGATTTGATACATGAAACACTGAAGACCGAAGACCAGAAGAGTTGTTAGATGACATCAAGAACATTATACAGGAAGAAAGCAAAAAGTTATTAGGAAGACAAGAACGAAGAAAAATATAAAAATGGATGGCAGTAGAGTCACTGAAACTTGCTCTCCAGCATACAGATTCTAAAGCAAATGAAAGAAACGAGGAGGTACAAAAGCTGAACAGAACATTTCAAAAGTCAGCTCGAGAAGATAAAGTCAACTGTTACAGCAAAATGTGCAAAGATCTGGGTGAGAAAACCAAAAAGGAAGAACATGTTCAGCATTTCTCAAGCTGGGGGAACTGAAGAAAAAATTCAAGCCTTGACTTTCATTATTGGAGGATTCTCTGGGCAAATTATTGAATGATGCATCAAGAAAAGATAGAAGAAATACACCGAGTCACTGTACCAAAGGAAATGGTTAATGTTCAACCGTTTCAAGAGGTAGTATATGATCAAGAGCCAATGATAATGAAGGAAGAAGTCCAAGGTGCATTGAAGGAATTGTCAAATTGTCAAAGAGCAAGGCACCAGGAATTGATGGAATACAAATCAAAATCTTTCAACAAAATGAGGTGGCACTGGAGACACTCACTTTATCTATGCCAAGAAATTTAGAAGACAACTATCTGGCCAACCGATTAGAAGAGATCCGTATTTGTGCCCATTCCAAAGAGAGGTGACCCAGTGGAATGTGGAAATCATTGGACAATCTCTTTGATATCCTATACCAGTAAAGTTTTACTAAAGGTAATACAGAAATGGTTGCAAGCATACGTTGACACAGAACTTCCAGAGGTTCAAGCTGGATTCAGAAGAGGCTATGGAACAAGGGATATCATTGCTGATGACTGATGGATCTTGGCTGAAAGCAGAGAATACCAAAAAGAAGTTTACCTGTGCTTTATTGACTACGCAAAGGCTTTAGATTGTGTGGATCATGACAAGCCATGAAGAACATTGTGAAGTATGAGTATTCCTGAACACTTAATTGTGGTCATGAGGAATCTGTACATGGACCAAGAGGCAGTTGTTTAAACAGAACATGGGAACACTGAATGGTTTAAAATTAAGTAAGTTGTGCAACAGGGTTGTATTCCTTCACCATACTTATTCAACCTTTATACTGAGCAAATAATCTAAGAAGTTGGGTTATATGAAGAAAAACGTGTCATCAGAATTGGAGGAAGACTCATTACCAACCTGCAATATGCAGATGATACCACCTTGCTTGCTGAAAGTGAAGAGGACTTAAAATACTGATGAACATCAAAGACCACAGCCATCTGTATGGATCGCATCTCAATGTAAAGAAAACAAAAACCATAACCACTGGACCAATAGACAACATTTGTATCAATGGAGAAAATATTGAACTTGTCAAGGACTTCATTCTTCTTGGATCAACTATGAACACTCAAGGAAGCAGCAGTTAAGAAATCAAATGACGTATTGCATTAGGCAAATCTGTAGCACAAGACCTTTTTAAAGTGTTGAAGAGCAAAGATATCAGCTTGAAGACTAAGGTGTGCCTGACCGAAGCTATGGTATTTTCAATAACGTCATATGTGTATGAAAGCTGGACAGTAAATAAGGAAGACTGTAGAATCGATGCTTTTGAGTTATGGTGTTGGAGGAGACTATTGAAAGTGCCATGGACTGCCAAAAGAACCAACAGATCTGTGTTGGAAGAAGTGCAGCCAGAGTGTTCCTTGGAGGCCAGGATGGCCAAACTTCATCTCTCATACTTCAGACAGGTGTTGTCAGGAGGGACCAGTTGCTGGAGAAGGATATTATATTTGGTAAGGTGGAGGGTCCAAGAAAAAGAGAAAGACCCCCAACGAGATGGATTGGCAAAGTGGCAGCATCAGTGGGCTCAAACGTGGCAACAATTGTGAGGTTGGCCCAGGACCAGGCAGTGTTTCATTCTGTTGTGCTATGAGTTGGTACCGTCTCAGTGGCACCACCCAACAACAACAACATTTTGGCTCTCGTGGACTTCTTTTAATTTTCTTCAGCTTCAGCCTGAATTTACATATGAGCAATTGGTGATATGTTCCACAGTTGGCCCCGGCCTTATTTTTGCTGATGATGTTTAGCTTCTCACCCGACTCTTCCCACAGATGTAGTCAATTTGATTCCTTTGTATTCCATCTGGGGATGAAGGTCATTGGTCTTGCAAAATCCTCTCATGGGATCTCCAGCATCATTTCTATCACCAAGTCCATATTTTCCAACTACCGATCTTTCCTCTGTGTTTTTAACTGTTGCAGTCCAATCACCAGTAACAATCAATGCATCATGATTGCATGTTTTATCAATTTCAGACTGAAGAAATTGTTGTTGTCAGGTGCTGGAATCAGCGGCCCTATGTTGGGTTTTCAAGAAGTGACTGGTGGGTTTGAACTTTGAGGTTCAAACAAACCTTGTGGTCCGATGCATTATCCTGCCGCACCACAACAGGAATTGGTAGAATTTTTCAATTTCATCAACACTGGTTGGTGCGTAGGTTTGAATAATAGAGGTATTAACTGGTCTTCCCTGTTAGCCTATGGATATTATCACAGCTGGCACTGGTGTTCTAGATCTTGAAGTGTTCTTTTTAACAATGAATGTGATGCAATTCCTCTTCAATTAGTCATTCTGGCATAGTAAACCACATGATTGTCTGATTCAAAATGGCCAATATTACTCCATTTCAGCTAATGCCTAGATTTTCAATATTTATGTCTTCCTATTTTTGACAATTTCCAAATTTCCTATATTTATACTTTGTACATTCCATGTTCTGATTATTAATGGATGTTTGCAGCTGTTTCTCATTTTGAGTTGTGCCCCATCAGTAAATGAAGGTCTTGTAAGCTTTATTCCATTCACATTATTATGATCAACTCTGTTTTGAAAAGACAGGTTGTATTTTGGAATGCCTTCAACTGGAGGAGCTCATTTTCCATCACTATATCTGACAATGTTCCTCTATTCATAATATTTTCAGTGACTAAAACATTCAGAAGTGATATGCCTTCTTCCTATTTTATTTTTGGTGTTGCGCTGCAGGATCAGCACTGGACTGAGAACCACAGGTCAGCGGCAGTCCAAACTCTACCAGCTGCTCCTCGGAAACCCTGTATAGGGTCGCTATGAGTAGGAACTTACTGGAGGGCACTTAACGACAATTTTGTCATAGTCTGGATGGAAGCTTTGGCAGAAACCTGTCCACCAAGGGTGACCCTGTTGGTGTTTCCGATGCCGGTGGCATAGCTTCCAGCATCACAGCAACACACAAACCACCAAGTATGACAAAGTGACAGATGAGGGACCTATACCCCGCCCCAAAAGAAGTTGGGGTAAAGTTAGGGATAGGACCTGGGCTAGGCGGGGAAGGGAAGGGGAGTGGCTCCAGGGCGATCTTGGGACTGAGATTCAGACTCGGGAGTGGGTGTGGCCCCATGGAGATGTGGCCTTGGAGGCTGCGGTGAGGGAAGTGGGCGGGAAGGCGAAATGGGCGGTGAAGAGGCCCAGCCCTCGCGGAGGAGGCGGGCGGAACAGTGCTGGGGCCGAAACGGGGCCGGAAAGTGGTGGCCGCCGGCCAGGCTCTGCCCCGCCTTGGGGCCGCCTCCCCGCGGGTTCCGTTGGCTGTGGCGGCGTCGGCCGCGGGGCGGCCGTAAGATGGCGACAGCGGCGGCGGGAGCCCTGGGCCTGCTGTGGGGCTGGCTGTGGAACGAGCGCTTCTGGCTACCCCAGAACGTGAGCTGGGCCGACCTCGAGAAGCCGGGCGACGACTACGGCTACCCGCGGGCCCGGCACATCCTCTCCGTATTTCCGCTGGCGGCGGGCATATTCTCCGTGAGGCTTCTCTTTGAACGGTAAGAACCCTCGAGGGAGCGATACGGAGGGCTGGGGGGGTGACCTGGGGATGCGGGTGCTGGAACTGCCCGAGGGGAGAGGCCGAGGACCCGAAGCCGAACTCAGGGGAACTCCCGGAAAGGGGGAGCTGGGGCCGCCGAGAAGGATGCCGTGAAGGGTACCGAGGTGGTTGTGGAGCCTGGGTAAAGACTGGCAGTAGGGGCGTGGGCCTGTTCTATCCTGGGGGTCTTCTCGGGAGCCCTACTGGGCCTTCCCCTTTCCAGACTCCAAGGAGTCTCACATGAGGAAACAGGTTGGGTGTGAGCTTGTTAGAGACCCCAAAACGAGAGCAGGAAAGGGCTAGGGGAACCGGAGCCACTTGGGACCCTTGAAGCTGAGAGCCAGACGTTCCAAGCAAAAGGAGTGGCTTCGTGGAAATCCAGGATTTGGGAGGACACTAGTTTCTGAGAGTTGAAGGAAACAGGATTAGTTAGGCCCGGGGTCTTGGTTTGTCATCTCATGGACAGACATTTGTTGAGGATATACGTCTATGTGTTTGTGTGTTCGTATAAATTCCACTAGCTTTGAAACAAGAGTAGAAATTTGGTAGGCTTGAGTGTAGTGGAACCTGAGGTTTCCAAAGTGTGGAAAAGTGTCAACTGCACAACAGGCTTTGGAAGAGGCCTGAGATGAAAGGAGGTGCCGTGGTGAAGAGAGCAAGAGCCGTGTACTTGGTAGAGGATAACTGTATTAAACAAGCTTCAGAGGGAGTTTAGTAGGATCACAACGTAATTTGCCCAACCATGTGCTCTGGGTAACAGAGATTTCACCTTTCTTAGGGTGAATTGCTCCTTATCTTCTGTCTAACGTAAAGATTTTTACTGGAGACTTGATGTAGTGATTTTATAATGTTAGCTGCTAACTGTGGGTGATTTTGATCGGGTCTTCTCAAACTCCAGGAAGGAGGAGACTCTTACTGCATGTCTGGTAATGAGGATTGCACGCTGACAATTTTTTTTTGGTCCATTTTGTCTTTACCTAGAGCAGAAATGATTGTAATGCAGAAATGCACTCCAAGATGGGTGTATATTGCAGATAAAATCATTTGTTACATTCTGAAAAGTTAGTATTATGTTTTGGATTGATTCTTTGATTTGTCTGTTATTTCTGACACAAAAATCACAAACTCTTTGTTATTCCCACCCCCTCGATACACAGGCTAGACAGGAATGGGCAACTTGGACACTGGCTACCCAAAATGGGGGGGGGGGGGCAGGCTACAAAGGCAAGAAGTGACTGGCTTACAAGCTTTCAAGAGAGAGCCGAGATCCAAAGGGTGCAGAGGAAAGTAGAATCTCCACATTAAAAAAAATCTTTGTTGTATGTTGATGTTAAGTGCTGTCAAGTGAGTTCCAACTCATGGTGACCCTGTGTAGGGTTTCTGAGATGAAACTGGTGGGTTTGAACTGCCGACCTTGCAGTTAGCAGCCCAATGCTTATTCTAACAGCAACACACAAAGTAGCTCAACATTTTCTTTTTACTGTTTGTGGGTTGTCATCAAAGCACTCTGTTCAGTGCAAAATTGAAAATGCTTTTAGCAGAAGCAATGAAACCTAAAAAGCAAAATAAATGGCCTTTCCAGCCCGCCAGCCACTCTGTGGGAGGAAGATGAGGCTTTTTGCTCTGGTAAAGGTTTATAGCCTTGGCAACTCTAGACAGGGTTGTTGTGAGTTGGAATCCATGCAATGGCACCTAACAACACAACAGGTCCTTAGAATGTAGTTTTGTGGTTATTTAAGTATAGTCATTGTATTAAGTATTCTTAGAGTGCCGGCCAAACCACTTCTCTCTCTCAAGAGTAATCTAGATCCAGGCATTCTACCTTAGCATATGTGTGTCAGTGCTGGAAAAAGAGACATCGTAATAACTGAAATGGAAAATTTACAGTTGAGGTCAGAAAATAAAGTTCATTGTCCTAGGAAAAGATTCTCAGCTTTTCGTATAAACGCACACCAATATGGAAAATTTCCCATGTATAGAATAGCTTGTTGTTTATAAACTTCTGTTTTATATACACGTATTTATCACTGTAGATTTCCAGTGGGTTCCCCAGATGGCTGTAGACATATATTCCTGTCAGAGACACTGGAAAGGATCCTTTACCTGTGGGAATTCTATCTGAACGTTTCTATGGTGCTCAGTGTCAGGGGAATAGGGGTGGATGGGAATACTGGGCTGAAAGCATGCTAGTATGATATTTCTTGGCTAGTGAGAACAGGCACCTTGTTTGTCTGATGTTTGCTACTGGCAAAGTTAACTCTGGAAGGAATCTTGCTATTTTGTTTCTCTCTAAGACCTACTACTACCAAGACCCACTACCTAAATAATAGAATTGATAGCTAGTTTACTAGTTCTTCTTTTCAGTATGTTACTCTTCTGTAAAGGGAATAGAAGCCACCCTTGTTGTTAAGTGTTGTCAAGACGGTTCCCACTCCTAGTAACCCTGTATAGAGTTTCCAAGGAGCAGCTGGTGAGTTTGAACTGCCAACCTTGTGATTCAAATCTACCTTGAGGTCCAGTGCTTATCCTATGGCACCACATCAGGACTCTCCTTCTTACAGTATAGTAATTGATACCATTTTCTCATTTCTCAAATCTCAGCTATTTCATTTCTAAAAGCAATTCATGTAGCAAATCAGACTGTAAGAGCTACAATTCCAACCTCTCGCAAATTGTAAAGCTTTTTAGGGGTTGTTATGAATTGGGCTGCTAATCTCATGGTCAGCAGTTCGAAACTACCAGCTGTTCCGTGGGAGAAAGATGAGGCTTAGAAGCTCCCGTAAAGATTTACAGCCTTGGAAGCCCTATGCAGGGTTGCTATGAGTCGGAACCGACTCCACGGCACAGAACAACAACAACAATAGTCAGGAGAGTGCAGTGGTTCTTTAGAATAAGCACTAGACTGCGAACCAAGAGGTCTGTGATTCTAGCTCACCAGCCACTCTGTAGGAGAAAGGTGAGGCTTTCTGCTCCTGTAAAGATTTACAGCCTGGGAAGCCCTATACAGGGTCACTGTGAGCCAGAACCAACTCCCCGGCACTTAACAACAACGTGTTCATGGGGGAGGAGAATCCAGATCATGTTCCCTAGTCTACTTCTGGTTTCACTGTATGATATGGCCGTCTTTTCTTATTCCTTAAACTCTCTTTCAAGGGTTAATATTTAACTCCCCTGTTCTTAGTGTTGTAGGATTTGGAAAACAAATTCACATTCATCATTATTTAATATAATTGGTTTGACTTGAAATGTGTATTTTATCTGTTTGTATTTCAAATTGTTACTGCATGTTTTAATGAATTTTTCAGTATTCCCTTTGATAAATTACCTTCGTGTATGTCAAGGAATCTCCCAAAGAATATAGAGTTTACAATTTGGTTTTACTTTCTTTTCATTATCATTAACCACTTTGAGCATTTAGTTTTGAAGTTCCCACATTTTGTAGGTAACTGTAGCCTCATCTGATGGAGATAACTTGAAAAGTCACCTGACCATACATATGAGTTTGTGGGTCACTATTTATTTTGCTAAAGAACCTATCAAAGGCATTCCTTTGTGATCCTCTGCTGACTGGTTGCTTGTGGTATTCTGCACCTTGCAGAATGCCTTGAATATAGTGTGTGGCTAATAAATACTTATTAAAAGATTGAAAAGGGTCTACTCAGATGCCGCCTGAACCTAGATCTTCAGCCTGAGATATCATAGATGTTTGGCTTGACTCAGAGAGAACAACTACATATCCTTTGTGTCTGTTGTTAAATCTCACCATATTATATTTGCACATTGTGATGTTATGGATTGAATTATGCTCACAAAAAGCATGTGCTGTAAATTCTAGTCTCTGTGTTTGTGGTTATAATCCCATTAGAGAATTAGTTGTCTTTATTATATTAATGAGACATGATTAGAGTAGAGTGTGTTTAAGTTTATCTCTTTTGAGATGTAATCGATTTAAAAAGCAAGCTAGAAAACAGAGATGGGAGAAGAATGATGCCAAGCCATATGGAGATCTCCGGTGAACCAGAAAACAAGCTTAAAGAGACAAGGACCTTCCCTCAGAGCGGACAAAGAAAGCCTTCCTGCAGAGCAGCTCTGATTTGGACTTGTGGCCTCCTAACTGGAAAAATCACGTTCTGTTTGTTATTGTTATTGTGGTATTTCTATTATAGCAGCACTAAGTCAAAATTGGTGTCCTGGTGTGGCACTGTAAGATAAACATTTGTCTGCTAACTGTAGGTTGGGGGTTCAAACCCACCAGTTGCTTCTTGGAAACCCTATATTGGGTCACTGTGAGTCTCAGCCAACTTGAGGGCACTTAACAACAACAGTATGACACTTTAGGATAAACACTGGCCTGCTAACTGCAAGGTGGGCGGTTCAAATCCATCAGCTGCTCCTTGGAAACCATATACAGGATTGCTATGAATTAGACTGGCTCAACAGTTTACAGTACTTAACAACAACAGTAAAACGGTTACAACAATACTTTGACAAGGAATTGCTGGAAATTCAAGCTGGCATCAAAAAAGGATGTGGAACGCGGAATATCATTGCTGATATCATGTGGATCTTGGCTAAAAGCAGAGAGTACCAGAAAGATGTTTGTTGTTGCTGTTGTTATGTGCTGTGGAGTCGGTTCCGACTCATAGCGACCCTGTACAGGGTTTCTGAGGCTGTTAATCTTTACGGGAGCAGAAAGCCTCATCTTTCTCCCGCATAACAGCTGGTAGTTTCAAACTGCTGACCTTGCGGTTTGCAGCCTGATTCGTAACCACTATGCTACCAGAGCACCTTAGAAAGATGTTTACTTGTTCTTTATTGACTATGCAAAGGTATTTGACTGTCTGAATAGTAACAAACTATGGATGACATTGAGAAGAATGGATATTCCAGAACATTTAATTGTGCTCATGAGGAACCTGTACATAGACCAAGAGGCTGTGGTTCAAACATAACATGGAG